TATATATATATATATATATATATATATATATATACACACATAAAAAATTGGTCCCGGGCCCTGTGAATTTTAGTAATGACCCTGTCTGGATAAATTTAGGGTAAAAAATGCCTTAAGGGTCCAACGGTAATAGTTTATGGCTTTCCAGTGATCATTTTCTGATTATAAAAGTGTTTTAAAGCAAAAAACAACATGAGAATGGCACAAAATGACGATGTGCATGACACAGCAACAAATGACGGCATTTGATTATTGCTATTCCAGGTCTCCTGAAAGGTTTATACCCTTTCTCTGTGATTATACCCAATTGTTTTTAAGGCAGCATTTTGAAGCAATAATCAAGAGAATGGCACAAAACGATGTGCACACAACACACAGATTTCAGCGGCCGGCTCCTGACATCTGGCAGCGTTTTTTACGGTCGCACCAGTCCTTACCTGTTCTCCGCAGTCTGCTGAACTAAAGGTTGATGGGTCTGAGGAAGCGCAGCTCCCGCCTGCACAGCCTCCACACCCCCGCCAGTGGGCGACAGAAGGGAGGGCTCAAACACGGGAAGCCCCCCGGCGTCAATGGGAGGGAGAGGGGGCTGGAAGTTAGACATGGAGTGCTGCTTTTTATTTATTGTGCCAGCTCTACGAGGGGCGATTTCCGGCTGTTTGTTAGCAGGGCTACAGGGAAGAGGGGAGACAGCATGAAACACTTATACTAGAGAGTGGCAGTGGGGTATTAGTCTCCACAGAAGGAAAGGAGGAGAAGGACAGGACCACCACCTGACCACTGGGACAGCAACCACCAGAGAGATGTGTTGGGAACGGATGAGATTTCAAATGGTTTGTATGCTGTTTTTTTCAGCATCCAAACGTAACATTTTCAGAATTATCATAAAAAATGCTGACTAAATACTTTTTTGCCCCACTGTATATATATATATATATACACACACACACATATATGTATGCATGTATGTATATACTCTTTCTGCAAGTTATATAGTTACGACACAGGAACAAAACTACTGACTGTCACTTAACCAATTAATTAAAAAAATGTGATTATTTAGGATTACCACTAGTGTGTGTTGCTCTGAGACCTGTGATGGTTGCTTTTGTTTGGAAGTATTTTTGCTGACAGAGCAAAAATAGCCAATAAATATAAAGTACAGTGCACACTATGCAACTGAATGTATTCATTCATTAAAGGGATAGTTCACCCAAAAATGAAAATGAACCCATGATTTACTCACCCTCATGCAATCCTAGGTGTATATGACCTTCTTTCAGACGAATACAAACTGAGGGTGAGTAAATAATGGCGTAATTTTCATTTTTGGTTGAACTGTCCCTTTAATGTAAAATCAGTGTTGTTATTGTTAACTAAACCTATTAAAATAGTTTTAACGTTCTTAGAATTGACAAGACAGTTGACCCTGAGTGGTCAGCTAAGTGCATCTAAAATATGAATAGTTAATTATAACTAGTTATGGTTAATTATTCATATTTCCTGTCGTTGAGCTAAAATTCGCTACAAAAGTTAGGAATCTGAAAGACCAATGCAAATGGAGATAAAAAATTATTTAAAAATTCTGGCAGTTTAATGCCTACAAAATGGCTGGTTGGGACTACAACGAGTTACTTCCCGGGTTCTTCAAATAACAGCGTATCTAAAAGTATGAGACAACAACAAACAAAAAACATAGGCCTACCATTAAAAGCCGTGCTTGCACAGGTTCTGCACGATCCTCTTCAATAATATCCTCTGCTTCTCAATCGGGCTCAAACTGATAAGCGATATTAATGATGCCGCTGTTTACAATACAACCGGAGCACATGCCGCTGAGGTGAGGGGCGGGACGTTTAGACACGCACTAGAGGCGGTTTAGCCAATCACAACACACTGGGTTAGCTAACCAATCAGAGCCCATCGCCTATTCTGAGGGAGGGGCTTCATAAAAGAAGGAAATGATCAGCGCTTTTCTCAGAGAAGGGACAGAGCGGTGTGGAATAAAGGTAAATTATGTGAAAAATAATGCGTTTTTAAAAATGAATCATTAACATATTAGACTGCACCCCATAAACACAATCAAGCCTAGAAAAAAACCAGTGAACCACCCCTTTAAATAAAGTAAAAACAAATATAAATATAAAACCTTATAAAAATGAGAAAATCAGATAACAAAATGTGATAAACCTGGTATTGTATATTATGAATACTGTCAGCTCTTTCATGAATTGCTTTTGTTCCTCTTTTGTAAGTCGCTCTGGATAAAAGCATGTGTTAAATGCATAAATGTAAAATTACTAAAACTTAAACTAAAATCAAAATGAAAATGTAAACAATTTAAATGTAAAAAAAAAACAAAGCTAATTAAAAATGTTAAGAAATACTATAAAATGAATATATGTATAAAAATATGTATTTGTAAATATTACTAAAATAACCCTGGCAGTACTTCAGTTGTTCATTAATGAAGCAGTCAAATCTCTTGTAGAAAGTGACTGCTGCAGCCGGTGACATTCAGCTGAAGGACTCTCCTGTACCTGAGGCACAAAAACATTCACCTTTTCAAGCTCTGGGTATGATGGCCTGCGGGAGAGGAGCTGTTTGACTCATTCTGAACATACCAAAGCGACAGGCTGACTGAGCACAGCTGACATTTCCTGCATTCACTCACTGAATAACTAGAACTGGAATTATAGAAACTAGAACTGGACTTACTGGAATACAAACAATTCCATTACAACCTTTCATTCCTTTTAATGCTTCATTAGTGAGTCAAAAACCTGACTTTTTTCTTCTCTGAATTTGGCACCCATTTCATAATAATGAAATATATCCATAATGTGTTTATACATAGCTATGAGCATAATGTTTATTTATTTCAGAAAGCATACAATAAGCAACGGTTGACAAAAAAACGAAGTAAAAAAAAAAAAAAAGCCAAACCAAGCAAAACCATGGCTGAAAAAGATGCATGTGTCATATGAAATGAATGTGTCTAAACAGCCCCCAGCTCTGGTCTCAGACTGTCTGCTTTGACTGTGACGGACTTACTGGCCACTACATAGGACGCGGACACTACTGCGGGGATGAGACTTGTACCTGTCTTTGCGGGGTGTGTCAGATTCGAGCGACCCCTGGCTGCCTGGGCGCCTCCTGTCTATGGTTCCAGATTCTGAGTCAGGGGTCCCTGGGCACCCAGGCATAGCAAATATGCCTGAAACGTTGAAGTCCACGTCTGAAGAGCAAAAGAGCAGAAAATATTAAGACATGGCCATGAATGAGAAAATGTGGCTGCGTTTTACTCACCTCCGAGGCATCCTAGGTGTATATGACTTTCTTCTTTCAGACGAATCCAGTCGGAGTTATATAAAAAATTGTCTTTGATCTTTCAAGCTGTTTAAAGCCACTCAGCGGGTGTTCCATTGCTTCAGTTCAAAAGAACTTAAATAAAAATCGCCCATCCATAAAAAAAAAAGTGTCTCACGCAGCTCCGGGGGGTGAACAAAGGCCTACTGTAGCGAATCGATGCATTTTTGTAAGAAAAATATCCATATTCAAAATGTAATAATCACTTAAATCTAGCTTGCGCTCACTGTTGTACACAGAAGCAGTTACGGGGGAATGACGTATGAGGTCGGCTTTGCGCATGCGCCGCTCAGAAGTGACACACGCGGAAGCGCAGCGGAGAGATCAAAACAAAACAACGGTCAAGAATTAGAAGTACAAAACGAGGATTTGTAAAGAAGAAAGTCAGAGGATTTCGATATAAGCCAAGAGGAGACTGGTTTTCCTTTGCTAAAGTAAGGAAACTTTGCTTCCTTTGCTCCTGTAAACAAACGTTGGTTTTCACGAGACTCACATGCGCAGCTGACCTCATACGCCATGCTCCCGGAACAGCTTCTGTGTACAACTGCTGCCGCAAGCTACATTAATTTTGAATATCGATATTTTTTTTACAAAAACGCATAATTTATATAAAGTTTGATAAAAATAGTTCTAATTAAATGTAATATTTATTAACAAGTTCTTAGCTTAGCAAATGTGAGTCTAATGCTCACATTAGACCATGGCTGCAAAATTGTACTTTGCAGGTATATGATTATAAACATGATAATGAACAGTTGCGCTTCCAAGTCTGACTTCAAATGTCACTTTTCCAATAGGAAGCTGGAAATTCCACGTTTGAAATTTCCGAGCTGGAAAAGGCAGAAATAGCATGCAGCATATTCAGCTGTGAGCGTTAGTCAAATCTCTAGTGTGCTTCTCGTGAGGAGTCATTTATTGAGGTTGCATCTCATTTAAAATGCTACCTTGTAAGGCTAGACAGTTAACAGTGAGGAAGCTCACTAGGTTTTAGACGAGGCAACTCTGACCTTCAGGGAAGAACCAGCTTGCATGGTTGATTATCAGTTCTATTATAGACACGACATGGATGGAGGTAGTAGCTGCCATCTCAGCAAGGCTTCTAGAAGGACAACAAAACTGCAACATGTCAAACTGTTCCTCAAGAAACCTAAACAAGGACATTTAACTAATAACATTTTATATAAACAATGCAATTTTTTATTATGTGAGTGGATTGCTGTTGGGTTTGTATCTCACCCCTCTGTCCGGGCCCACAGTAAATTGGGTCCCAGTACGATGGCGATGTTGCTCGCTGTCATCTTATTTATGTCACTTTCCAGAGCAAGCTTCGCAAGAAACTTCACCAGGTACCTTCACAGACACAGATTAGCTTGTTACGATCACAAAAGTCATTACAGGTCAATGTTAAAAGTTAGTTTAGTGTAGTAACAAGCAGACCTAAAGTTGGTCTTGTTGGCCTTTGGTAACATGTCACATACCACCCACAGCGCCTGAAGCCTCTTATCAGGGTCAGAGATACTGCAGACGAGAGAAAACAAGAGGAAAAAAGTGAGGAAAACAGATATATGACACAAGAATCTCATAAGAGATTCTTCAGCTGTCCCTACACAACAAAAACGGAAAAACAAGTACATTTAATCACTTTTTATATGAGATATTTAAATTATTTTAGTGTAAAAATATGATACAGTTTGAGCATAAAACCTTAAATTTCTTTATTTGGCTGCAACCACACAAGATTCAGAAGATAACAAGGAAACACTAAGCTATTAGAGAAACTTCAGATAACCGTATTTTTTTTACTGAATTTGTGCCACATATTTTATCATAGTAATCAAAACAATGGAATATTCACAGCAGGGATGAAATCTGATGACAAAGCAAGAATTATATGTGAATAAAAAAAATATTTTGGGTTGTAATCTTTTTTTAATGAATACTTTTATTTAGTAGGGATGCATTAAAACTGATCAAAAGTGACAGTAAAGACTTGTATAATATTACAAATATTTTACAAATTTTTCAAATGAAAGCTGTTCTTTTGAACTTCCTACTGATCAAAGAATTCTGAAAAAAATGTATCATGGTTTACACCAAAATATCAAGCAGCACAACGGTTTTCAGCAATGATAAAAAGAAATGTTTCTTGAGCAGATCCGTATATTAGTATAATTTCTGAAGGATCATGTGACACTGAAGACTGGCGTAAAGCTGAAAATGCAGCTTTGCATCACCAGAATAAATTACATTTTAATATGTATTAAAATAGAAAAGTTATTTTAAATGGTAATATTTCAAAATATTACTGTTTTTACTTTATTTCTGATCAAATAAATGCAGCCTTGTTAAACATAAGAGACTTCTTTCAAAAACAATTAAAAATGTTGCCACCCGCAAACCTTTGCTGGTATATTTGAACTGAAGCATGTAAATGATGGGTTGTTGGTTATGATAAATTATGACTGATACAGAATTATTAAATTAGTTGCTCTACAAAGCTAACCTATTTGCTATTCATTGTTTGTTTGCTAATATGGTTTTATGCTTATACCTAAGTTAGTCATGCAAGTTTTTAACCAAATGTTCAAGATTTGGTGAGCCTCACTAACAAACCTATATTTTCTTCTGAATACAGAGGCATTGAAGTCACATGGACATTGATGTACAGTATTGTGAATGTGCTTTACTTTGAGGCTTGGATCCACTCTTCATACAGCTGGTAAGTCATCAGAGGTTCAGGCAGCTCCCTCAGGTAAGATTTGAGGGCTCCTAAATAATCACGGAAAAACAAAACCAACAGCAAATGGATTTGAAAACCACCAATTCTGTTTTAACATGACATACAAAGTGGATTCAGACTCGGTTTTTCAAATATTTGGCCATAGCTGTGGTACTCTTCAATATGGTGAACAGAACTGAAAACTTCCAAGTTTCAAAATAGATCAGCACCAAAATTCTGGTTTTGTAATCAACAATACAACCAAACATGGTTTCAAATCAAAGAAATATAGTCTCACTTTCATTTTTGGGAGTCATTCTAAATGCAGAAATGCTAAAATCTCTGTAACTAGCTGCAAACAAACGGCATCCTTCTACAGTTTCATTTAAGGAAAATGGCTTGTACCGGCTACAGCATGAGGGTCGAAGTAAAACTCCTCCAGTTGGGAAGTGGAACAGTCCAGTGCCGCCTTTAACTTCTTCAGTTTAGAGGCTCCAGCAGCGATACGGAACAAACCCTGGCACGAAAGGAAATGTGGAAAACACACAAAACCTTTGCAACCTGCAGTACAATATAAACTGAGATGCTTATGTATTACAAAAATGACTGAAAAGGCTGTTCTCATATGTGTCAGTGATGGTTTCACAGGGAAATGATTGTTTCGTTTCATTGCTATTATTAGTCTGGTTTTAGTCAAGAAGCAGAAGTGAATCAGTAGATCTCTCCACCCATTATCCATCTCTAACACAGATATACTGCTATATATCACTCAATATGCTACACTCTCAAAAATCATTAAGGTCTGTCTATCTATCTATCTATACATCCATTCATCATCTATCATCTATCCACCCACCCAGCGTCGGCGTCACGGGGGGCCTGAGGGGGCCCGGCCTGCCCACCGTGCCCCCTCACCTCTGGTTTAGTCGGTGAGGCAAGGTACTGCCCTGGGAAGGTCTCCCAGGCTGTTAAATACACAGATTAAAAGCTAAATGTTTTCATTTCGGTTCGTTCTTAGCAAAAAAAAATAAAAATTTCGTTCAGGTTATGCAGAGCGAAATAAGAACGGTGCTGCATTTAGAAAGAATTCTTATTAACTTTGCTATTATTCTTGAATTTTCAAACTGCTAACACTTTGCCGTTTCGAATTATGCCTTTACTGTATGACCAAAAATTACGGAGTAGTCTATTTTATGTTTCAGCTGTTTGATCGCGCCGGCGCCTCACGCGCACACTAAGCTACTGCATTCACTGGAAACAGCGCAGCCGTTCACCGTGCCGTTCGGCGTGAGCACCGGTCCACTGTAGCATATTTTTGCTATTTATGATATTTTTCCATCGATACTGGAACGTGCGTGAACTACAAAGCCTATTTTACCTAATAAGGCTAATAGTTTAGCTTCAG